AGAGAGAGAGAGAGAGAGAGAGAGAGAGAGAGCACCATACTAATCAGAAAAGATGGAACAAAAAGAAGAAATTTACAGAAAAGACGGAACAAGAGGAAGAAAATTACAAGTTTCAAAGCCCACTACATTACTAAAACAAGCAGGCAAACTACCAAATATCGGAACTTATTAGAAAGCTCGTAGCCATTACAATTACTCAAGAAAAATGGCATCCAAGCAAGAAAAGAATGGGTTATGGTCATTTGCTCTGAATTTTCCTCAAGGGGACCCATTTCATGATACAGAAAAGGTCCCCGCCTCTCCCTCCCCCTACTTGTACAAATAATTTACACCTCTCCCAAGCCACACCAAAACTCAATACACTATGCCTTCTTTCCCCTCAAAACCTTTTCCCCTTTGCCCCTTTCAAGAGATACAATTTTCATTTTACCTTTTGACTCTTTCTCTCACTAAAGAAATCAGAACACCGCACTCCACAGAGCATGTTCCCCTTCCCCACAGCGCTGGTGTACTTCTTTGATTCTCTCAGCTGATTTGCATATTCCACTGCAACTCCAGTCGAACGATGCAACACATATATTGCCAGCTTGTGCCTTCCACTCACAATCTGCACAATGTACTTATGTCATCAATTCCTTCTCACAAGGTAAGCCAGGAACACAAACACATCCTAGATAATCCTTGTCGAATCCACATTGACTGCTCATTACTGAAATTTTAGTCTCATTAAAATACAAAATTTATGTCAATCATGGAAAACCGAGGCTGTAGTTCTCATTTGAAAGGGGTTCACTTCATAGGCAAAAGCACCCTGATTCTTTACTATACACCAGTCATTCTTGAGCTGACAGAAAAAAATCCTTACACGTAATAAAACAAAATGCTATTTGCTTGCCAAAGGCAAAAGATGCTTAAAAGTAATGATAGGACAGGCCATATCAGCAGATGTGCAAGATGCTTTTAACCAGAATCTAAGAAAAAACATGTTCTTTTCATACGTGAAAAAAGAAGAGGATCCATTTTCTTCCGGCATTTGTTTGGTCAAATCACATTTCAGGGTGCGGTTTGTATAAGGCTGAGGCTCTAAACAATCAAAGTAAGGCGCACCTTCAAATAGTGTCGAGAAATGTGTTTTCAACACTGGAAACCTTTGTGATAACCTTAAAATATATTTTTATCTCTAATTATAAAATTTACAGCTTCAAAAATAGAGTAGATCGAGCAAATCTATGAAAACTTGAAAATCTTGAAAATTGACGGTCCAAAAATGCATTACAAGATGCACCATTTCCAAAACTTGAAATCCATTTTTTTTTGTCATATCCATGCATGTTGAGGTCAACATGATCCATTTGAGGATATTTGGGCATCAAACCAACCTCTTCTAGTGAAATGTTTTAGGTACGCCCTGATTTGATTGTTTAGAGCCTCGCACTTATATAAACATTTTCCTTTCAAGAATCATTATCCTGTAAAATACTTTGGACTCATCGCATCAGAAAGATATAGATAGCAAATCTCACTTACCTGGAGGGGTTCCGCAACAGAGCCTGCGATCATCAATGTGTTCAACATCCAACCCAATAAACCAGGCCCCTAATGAGACATCCTCATTCGCATACTTGTGCAGCACATGCCTGAGAGAGAATCACAAAGTATGATTTATCTAAGCATCTTTCATAAAAAGCCCACGACACATAATCTCAATAGAACTGAGTACATTGATGCTTACTGATTTATTGATATATATGTCGCCAAGTCCTTTGAGATGGCATATAATTGCCCTGTAGCATGTCTAAAATACTTGTTTCCCTCCTCGCCAAATTTCCAGTACTCAGGCTCATGGTACCTCACTCCCCTAGACCATAATATTATAAATTAAATTAAAAAACTACTCTCCACATAAATAACTGTCAAAGGAAGAATAATAGATCTTACTTTTGGGCGAGAACTGGACCCGACTTCATGCAACCTATATACACCCGAGGCTTTGCCCGATGCCGCACCAGAGTCGTTCCAAGTGTTGCTATAGTACAAAATTCAGACTCAGATGTGGAACACTCGGACAGTATGGGTAGTTAGATTGATTTTGGAAAAACCTTTGTCTTGAAAGCACAAGGAAAATAACAAGATGTGGACCAATTACTGTGAAATATGGTATGCCAACATATTTAAATAATACATGAATGTTTTGAAGCTGATGATAATGAAGTAATCAATGTTTGAACATCAGCCTCTTGGAAAAATTAGATCATCTTGCTCAATACCTTTTTGTAAATCACACAACAGAAAATAAATAAAACAATGTTTCTTAACCCTAATTCCTATTGCATCATATAGCAGATGACTGGAGTGTCTTCAACTTTCACTGTCACAAAGTACATGACATATTTAAATAATACATGAATGTTTTGAAGCTGATGATAATGAAGTAATCAATGTTTGAACATCAGCCTCTTGGAAAAATTAGATCATCTTGCTCAATCCCTTTTTGTAAATCACACAACAGAAAATAAATAAAACAATGTTTCTTAACCCTAATTCCTATTGCATCATATAGCAGATGACTGGAGTGTCTTCAACTTTCACTGTCACAAAGTACATGACACAAAAACTACACATGAAAGAATTTTCTCACCTATATTTACATGTACATCATCATCCACCTTAATGTAAAAGTCTGCATCCCATAAAGAAACAGCAGTAGCAAAATATATCTTTGTTTTGGCTGATAATTCAAGGTATCCTTCAACGTGCTCCTGCTCAGAGTACACATGCATAACAGTTAGAAAGACCCAAAGGTATATTTATAAATTCAAATATAAAAAATAGGTGCTGAAGATGCAGCAAAAGCACTGCACACAGCACAGAGGAAAAGAATGGAATACTTGGAAAGAAATAGGATCACAGCTTCACAAAAGAAACAAAAAAAATTAATAGCAGATTCATCCCCCCAAAAGGCTTCTTCCTCATGAGATAACAGAACTCTAGATGTCACATTGTAGAACCTGCCATCCTGAACACCACTGCCTAGGCCCCATTCTCAACTTGAAAACTGAATCTATCACATCCCCTCTCTAAATTTGACACATTCAGATTATCTTTGTGCATTTTCGCATGGTTACCAAATGTGAACGGTCTTACCAGCCTCAGGAAGTCTCCATGTTTTTTATCTTCTGCTTCAATAGCTTTGTCCAAAATACCTCCCGAAGTAGCACTGGTTTTTCACCATCAAATTAAGTTTAGGCAGCCATAAACAATAAATCAAAGGCAAAGAAAAACAATAAACAAATATATGCAATCTGAAACTGTCGAGTCATGCACCAAGAGGACTAACATCAAAAAAATTCAGGAGGGGGTGGGGGTGTGGGGGGGGGGGAGGAGGGGAAAAAACTCCTAAACGAGGAAATAAACTTTGAAAACCTAAAGGCATGGACATGTAGAACGTAAAAGCATTGTCGATTGACAAAGAATAAACATGCATAAGATGAAATGAAAAAATCAAATGAAGTGCAAAATGTAGAAGGAAACAACATCATCTGTCCTTTCCTGAAGTAACTACTGTCAGTATAAGTGCTCAAAGATGGACTGTCTTTTATTTTTCTTTTAGGTCAATGTTCTTTTTTTCCTTTCTTTTTTTTTTTTGGTTCATGGTTTGTTCTTCTTTTTTGTTTTCCCCCCCGTTTTGCAGGAGATTTAACCTGTATTCTCTAATTATCTAGGATATTTTGAATATATACCAAGAAAAGCAAGGGGCTTTTGGGCACATCTACAGAAAGTGAATTAAGTGAATTCCAGGATAACTTGAAGTTTTTGGGCTGTTCATAAAAGTATTGGACATCGAGAGTTCAGAAGGGACACTAATCTTGGGAAGATCCATTCAAGGCTCATGATTGTACTTCAAATTCAGCCACAAGTACGAGATATAGTTCAAAAGCCATCATGAGAGGAAACTCACCAAAATAAATCATACTTAATGATCTGAAAATGCAACCTTTACTATTGAGGGCAATCTTAATTTTCATCCATTGATTTTCCATTTTTGGGTCCAATAGTAGGTTTGAACCCTCAACCTCAATATTGCAGCAAGAAGCGCCTTCCAGGTGGGTTATGGGCTTAAGCCCAATCATGTAAGCTATCCCCTTAACAAAAAGAATTAGAGGGAAAAGGCATTCTCACTTCCAAAAGGAGATCTTCTCAAGAAGCGAACAACGCAATGAACATGATATCCATTCCATGATTTGACATTTAACTTTGCAAGTCCATTTCCATAAATGGCATTGTTCACATTATAATCCCCTTAAAACAGGTTATTAATCAGCAGCTGTGTGCTACCCTTGATAGTTTCACAACACTACTATTTCTGATGCATTAGAACCAATCTTCATCATACTAATGATTAAAATTAGGGAAGACATGACACCTTAAAAAGGATAAGGGGATATATATCCCCCTCTCCTTTTTGGACAGATACCAGCCTCCCACCTTTAGCTCAAGGAGCCCACTCCATACAATCAGAGAGAGGGATGGGTCAACTGCCACATTCACCTTCTAACCCTCCTATCATTGATTATTATATATATTGAAAATCTAATTTATCATGGTCTCTCTCTCTCTCTCTCTNTCTCTTCTCTCTCTCT